TCCTTCTACTCACTTTGGGCTTTGCTCGTATTCTTTTTCAAGCTTTTTTAGGTGTAAGGTTAGATGGTTTGAGATTTTGTTTGCCTCTTGAGGTAGGCCTATGAATTTCCCTCTTAGGACTGCTTTTGTTGTTTCTCATAGGTTTGGGGTTGTTGTGTGTTCATTTTCATTTGTCTCCAGGTAACTTTTTATTCATTCCTTGATCTCATTGTTGAACCATTCATTGTTTAGTAACATTATTTAGTCTTTCTGTGTTTGTGTGTTTTTCAGTTCTTTTCTTGTTATTTATTTCTGGTTTAATACCATTGTGGTCAGAGAAGGTGCTTGATATGATTTCAGTCTTAAATTTACTGAGACTTGGTCTGTCCTACAAAATGTTTCATATGCACTTGAAAAGACTGTATATTCTGTTGCTTTGGGGTGAAATGTTCTGAAGATACCAATTAAATCCATCGGATCTAGTTTGTTGTTTAAGGTTGCTGTTTCCTTATTGATTTTCTGTCTAGACGTCTATCTATTGATGTCAGTGGGGTGTTAAAATCCCCTACTATACTGTATTACTCTCATTGTCTCCCTTTATATCCATCAAGATTTGCTTTACATATTTAGATGATTCTGTGTTGGGTGCATATATGTTTACAAGGGTTATATCCTTTTGTTGGATTGATCTCTTTGTCATTACGTAGTGTCCTTCTTTGTCTCTTATTTTATCCTTTGTTTTAAAGTTTATTCTATCTGATATAGGTACTGCTACCCCAGCTTTTTTCCCCCCACTTCCATGATACATCCGTTTTTATCCCTTTACTTTCAGTCGGTGTGTATTTTTCATTCTGAGATGGGTCTCTTCTAGACAGCATGCGTAGATGGGTCTTGTTTTCTTAATCCAGCTGTCCTATGTCTTTTGATTGAAGTACTTAATCCATTTACATTTAAGGTGATTATTGATAGTTATGTGTTTGGTGCCATTTTATTCTTTATAACTGCTCTTTTTTTTCTTTTACTTTCTCTTCTTGAAGAAGGACTTTTAACATTTCTTGTAATACTGGTTTGGTGGTAATGAACTTCTTTAGCTTTTTCTTGTCTGGGAAGCTTTTTGTTTTACCTTCATATTGAATGATAGCCTTGCTGAGAAGAGTAGTGTTGGTTGTAGCTCCTTGGTTTTTATCACTTTGAATATTTCATTGCCAGTTCCTTCTGGCCTGAAATGTTTCTGTTGAGAAATCAGCTGACAGTCTTAGGGGAGCTCACATGTACATAACTAATTTAAGATTCTCCCTTTGTCTTTAACCGTTGTCATTTTAATTATGATGTGTCTTGGTGTGAGCCTCTTTGGATCCATCTTGTGTGTCTTTATCTTTCACCAGCTTAGGGAAGTTTTTAGCCATTATTTTTTCCAATAGGTTCTCGATTCTTTGCTCTCTCTTTTCTCCTTCTGATACCCCTATGATGCGGATGTATGCTTCATATTGTCCCAGAGGTCCCTTAGACTATCCTCATTTTGTAAAGCTTTTTTCTTTTTGATGTTCTGTTTGGGTGTTTTTTACTGCCTTGTCTTCCAATTCACTGATTCAGCCCTATGCTTCATCTCCCTGCTGTTGACCCTTCTAGTGTATTCTTTTTTTAAAATGTTTTTATATACTTCAAAGAGAGGAAGGGAGATAGAAACATCATTGATATGAGAGAGTCATTGATTGACTGCCTCCTGCACACCCCCTACTGGAGATCGAGCCCCAAACCTGGGCATGTGCCCTGACCAGAAATCGAACTGTGACCCCCCTGGTCCATGGGTCGACACTCAATCACTGAGCCACGCTGGCTGGCCCTCCTAGTGTATTCTATATTTCAGACATTGTATTCTTCATTTCTGACTGGTTATTTTTTATGGTTTCTATGCCATTTCATGCTGTTGAAGTTCTCACTAGCTTCCTTGAGCATCCTTATAACCATTGTTTTGAACTCTAGCTTGCTTTCCTCTATTTCATTTAGTTATTTTTCTGGGGATTTTTTCTGTTCTTTCATTTGGGGCATGTTTCTTTGTCTCCCCATTTTGGCTATTTTTCTGTACTTGTTTCTGTGTATTAGGTAGGTCTGCCATGGCCTGGTAAGGTGGCCTTATGTAGTAGGTGTCTTGTGGGCTCAGAGGAGCAGTCTTTCTAATCTCATGAGTTGGGTGCTCCAGGAATGTTTTTTGTGTGGTATATGTGAGCCCTTCTGCTGAAGTTGAGTCTTGAGTGCTGTTGGCCTCTCCATGGGTGCAGTTGCTTCTTCAGCTGGCTACGAGGGAGTCAAATATGAGCTTCTGTGTGGGGGCTGGCTCCACAAAGTTGAATTTACCCCAACAGGATCTAGGGCTGAAATATCCCTTTGTGCGCGCTGCTTATGCAGTTAATTGGGCTTTGCTATAATGTGGTAAGAACACTGGTTGTGTTGGTTCTAGAGCCCCTTGTGAAGGGTTCTAGTGCCAGTAGATGTTAGGCACTGCTGGTAACTGGCCCTGAGCTACCTTTTTGGAGATACAAAGTGATGCACAGTTTGCAACTGCCTCTGCTGGGCCTGAGTATGCGTGGCAGGGGCCTAGCTGTGCAATAAGACCGATTTCCACAGGCACCGAACTGGGGGCAGGTCAGCAAAAGGCCCAAGGCTCCCTGCATTCTTCCCTCACCTGTTAGCTGCCTATTAGGCTCAGTTACTGAAAGAGCTTCGGGTGGTACATGAGTTTCTTGAAAGGGAAGCTTTCAGTCAATCACCAGGTAGGGGAAAGTGATGTTCACCAGATTGATACAGATTCATCTTGGTATCAGTGCTGGGCCTGAAGCCACAGAGCAACGGTCTCAGGGTACACCCAGGTGGGCTGCCACCAGCTATGTGCCCACAGTCCTTTGTCGCAGGGGTGAGTCTCGGGGATTCATCAGGGTTTGGCCAGCAATGTTCATCACGCCTACACAGACAAAGGCTTGGCCGTGTGAAGGGAGAACATCATTAATAGTGATGCTATTCTGGTATGAGCAGGGGACAAATGGCCTACCCAAGAAAAAATGGCCTTGCCCAAGAGCCAAACAACTCAGTTCTTTCCTGAGTCTATCCGGATCTACTGGAGAGTCTTCTACACCTGGGGACCAGGCTGTCCACAGCAGGCTAACAGTACTGTGGAGCACATGCTTAGCAGAGTGGCGTCTCCAAGAGTCAGGAGGGTGGAGCGAATGGTTCTCCCCTGATGGGGCCAGTGAATCTCCTGTGGGGGTAAGAAAGCCACTACTCTGGCTGCAGGAGAGCCACTACTCCAGGCTGGTGCTTGGCTATGGGAACAGGGTGTGAGCCATGGGTTACTATGGCCTCAGGGTGTGGGGCAGTGCGGGCTTGCCTGTGGTAAGCGGGACGGGAAACAGTTTTTGTCCCAGAGCCACACAACTGTGTCTCTGATTCTCCTTGAGTTTGTTCTCAACATTCCTTCAAGAAAGTCTATACCACAAGCTTAGGCAGCAGATATTTTCTTAGGGCTTGAGGTTGGCTGGGTAGCAGGGACCCAGGAGGTGGAAGTTGTACAAGTCCCCCTTGGCCAGTGCAGATTAGAGGGAAGTGTTAGCTCCAGGAAAGATGGCGTCTGTGGGCAGCACAGGTGAGGAACTCAGCACAGAGACCCTGGTGGCTGTCCTTTCAGCTCTCTTCCAAGAGCTACACAGCCCAAGTCTGTGTTTTCAAGATTCAAGCCAGCTCCAACCCACAGTCCCTCTGCTGGAGCCCAGAGTGAATGGCTGTGAACAGATTCTGTGTGCTGACCCTTGAAGAGGAGCCTGGAATTCCTATCAGAATCCCATCTTTCCCTGGTAGACAGAATCCCTGCTGATTTTCACAGCCAGACGTTACGTGGGCTCCTCATCATGACTCTGGTGCTCTGCGCTGGAGAGCCTGGTGTGGGGTTGAGACCCCACCTTTCTCAGGGTGGACCTTTGCAGCTGATATCCCTCCAGATTCCTAGCACCTACATGGGAGCAGGGCCAGCCGTTTTCAAGTCTCTGCCCTTCCTACCAGTCTCGATGTGGCTTCTTCTGTAAATCCTTATTATAAGACTGTTCAGCTGGTCTTCAGTTGGTTATTCAGATTGATTGCTCTATGCTTTAGTTGTAATTACAATTCGGGGCTGGTAGGAGGCGAATGTAACTGCCACCTACTCTGTTGCCATCTTCTGATTTGTGCTTTTTCTAACTTAAGTTAAAAATTTAGCTTATTGATTTTAGATTTTGATTCCTTTCTAATGTAAGCGTCTTTAAGATATTTTCCAGTTTCTCTTGTGATTTCTTTGGTGGATGGTTTTTTAATTATTAATGGACTGTATTTTTAGAGTACTTTTAGGTTCAATGGAATTGAGCAGAAAGTACAGTTTCCCCATACTCTCTAGTTTCTAAATGACTTTTTTTCTTAAAAATAGCAAGCATGTATTAAATTTATATTTAAAAGAAACATATGCATTATATAACATCTGCCAAATTACAAAGTAAGAATTATATATTTATAAGTGAAAGAATTATAGCAAAATTTTTCTGGTTTGGTTCCTATTTAGATATTGAATATGAACATTAATTAGTTTACAGAAGGTAAAGGAAATAATCTAGTAGCTAGATTATGCATACATACATGATTTCATTCTTAAGATCTGAAACATCTTTTAAAAATCTAGTTGAGTGACTCGTGTTACATATATTTAGCACATTAAAGTAGTCTTATTGGAGAAGGAAGAATTTAATAATCAAAATGTATTATTGATTAGCATATTTCATTTAAAATAAAGTTGGATTCAGGAATAGAAAATTTTTCTGTATTTATACCAAAATATTCTAAAAGTCTTTTTCTTTTTATGCAAAATATCTTGTAATAAGTATATTTGTTTTATGTTCTTTTGATTTTATAATATTATAATTTTAAATTTATGAAAATTGTGAATTAAAAATACTAATCATATATAATAATTTTCTTTTACATTATGGAATAAAATTTTATCACAGGTTTCGTCTTGATATATATCGTTGTTTGGCCAGTCCAGCTCTAATAATGTTAACAGAGGAGGATCCAATTCTGAGAGCATTTGAACTTAGTGCTGATTTAAAAGAACTAAGCCTTGTGGAGGTGGAATTCAGGTGGGATGAATGGAAATTATAAATTATATCTTTCTCTCTTTTTTTTTTTAGAATATTTTCAACCTGAGTTTTTTCTTAGGCCAAATTAAAATATATATTTACATTTGATCCAAGATGACCAGACCTTGCTGCCACCTGCCCGGGGTTTCCTTCCCTCAGGGGAATGGACCCTGGTGTAATTTAGGTCACTTCCCCACCTGCTCTCTGCCCCTCTTGCACCACCCTGAAGCCTGCTTTGTTCAGCATGCCCAGGGCGTCCTAGGGCCGTGTGCAGAGCAGTGGCAGTGGTAGCGGTAGCCTTAAGCAAGAACAGAATCACTCACAACTGTTCCCTGACCTGCCTCCCCTCATCCCACATTCCGTAACCGGCCTCGGAGTGTGATTCTTCGTAACTTTCAGAAGCATGTGGACTGCTTTCTGTATGTCAGGGAGGTTCCACACGGAGAAGCCTCCGTTTTCACTGTTCATTGAGAGCTTCTGTTGAGAGAAGCAGAGCGCGGAGGCATGTCTCTGGAATGAAGAGGTGCCTGCAGTCCTGGCACTTTGTATACCCAAAGAACCGCTGCTATCATCTCTCCTTTAAGAGCTAAGTTCGGGGAGGCTTTGGAAAAAGCAGCCTATTAAACTACTGATAGACACTTAAAAAACTTTTTTTAGAAAACCACCTTTAGTAAACTTGAGGGAAAGCTTTGAGACTTTCCCCTAAGTTATGGCATCCCTGATGCCCTCCGAAGAATGGAGAAGTGGTCGAGATCCCTTGCCAGTCCCGCCTTTGTTGTCACATCCAGCCGATGGCGGAGCCCCACGTCTTACCCTGCTCTCCTCCAGGGATTTGATACTATTGGGAAATTCAAACTTCTACTTACTGGAAGGGCAAAATGAAGCTTGCCATTTTTTTTTACCTTTATAGCAATACATAATGTATTCTTGATAGCTCTGAGTTCTAGAAACTCTTTAAAAATACCCGTTTATAAGTTTTCAAGTTTGGAACTACTATATTTTAATTTGGATAAATTAAAATTTATTTCAACTTGAAATGACATAAAGTATATACTTGGATGAACATATAAGACATGCTTAAAATGTAATTTGTTGCTACTTTTAATTTTATTAGCACATGAGACTATTAATAAATTATTCCTTTTATGTATGAAGAACTTTCTATTATAAGCTGATAATTGGAGTTCTGAGTTATCATATAAAATAGAATTCATTCAATTCTTCTCACGAAGGATTTAGAACTACTATGATTATATTATAATCATAGACTAATAAAGGTAGATTTTGAAGTGATCGTAGAATCCATTTCTATGACCCCTTATTTTTAAGGGCAGAGAATGTCATCTATATAGGTTAGATGTTTCACTGATACTAACATCTAACTAGGAGCAGAGTTGTAACTAGAACAGGACTCCTTGCGTCGAGTCTGTTATATTTCTATCTAAACTGTACAGCCACTTACTAGTCTTCCAGTAACCTGGTAGAACGTAAGCAAATTAGATTTATAAAGCATATTAATTTTACCTTTGAATCTATTGGTTTTGCAATCTTTATCTAAAGGTGAGCTATCTTTGTAAAACTACCCACTTTAGGTGGATGCTCCCATCTGCAATTAGATTCCTAGACTAAGAAGCAGGCGCTAATTCAGTTGTAAAAGAAATCCAACTGTTTATTCTTAGGTATTTTGGCTACATAGTAAATGCAAAGAATGGATGAGAAAAATGTTAGCCCCTAAGAGTTTTGAATTTTTTTCATTATAATTTTATGCAGCCAGTTTATGGAAGACTCGATTTATAGAGATATTAATCAATGGGAAGTCCTCCTATTTCCCTTAAAGAAAGAAAAAGGAAAAAAAATAATTTCCTGATGTTCAATTGATTCATAATATTTCTAACTTTATTCTTAAATTATTTTACTCAGATATAAGTTTAGTGTAATTGATATATTTTTTTTAAATGTTCTAAGACTTCTTAGTTCCTCACGAGTTGATTTAGGCTTGTCTTTAACAAGCAGTTAAATCCTAAATTTCAAGGAAATGTGATTCTGGAAGAGAATTCTTTACTAGACATGTTTCAGTATCTTTCTTTCTAACTTGAGTATTTTTAAATGAGCACTTTAGAAATTAACCAAAATACTATTTTAATATCAGAAGTAGCATAAACATGTTATGGACTGTTATTGAGAAAATGTTTCGTTAAAAACTATATAATAATGTTTATTGGTTAGCATTAATATATTATTATCATTGTTTTGGGGGGTTTTTTAAATTTTATTTATTTTTTATTATTGTTTAGCTAAGTCATATAAAAGGACATTTTATACCAAACTTATAGAGGATAAGGGCAAATGAGTTAAGTGAAGAACTGGTTGACAACTATCAGAATTTCTAGGACTATCAGTATATATATGTACATGTATATATGGAAACATTGTGTGAACACCAGGAACATAACTGTGTTTCAGTTTTCCCCAAAACTGTGGAGAATTAAGGCACAGTAGGTTCCTTTGGCGGTCGGCACATAATGACTGCCCATTTGGTGTACCATTATCAGAATTAAAATATTCCCAAGAAAATGTTTTCTAATGAAATAGCTTAGTTAGAAAGTGGAAGTGACATTTCTAATAACCAACCATTGCATTTTACAGGAATGATTATGAGGAGCTAGCCCGCCAATGTAAAATGTTTGCTAAAGATTTGCTTGCACAAGCCCGGAATTCACGCGAATTGGAGGTTATTCTAAACCATACATCTAGTGATGAGCCTCTTGACAAACGGGGATTATTAGAAGAAAGAATGAATTTAAGTCGTCTAAAACTTGCTATCAAATATAACCAAAAGGAGGTATGAGGGTTTCTGTGATGTATTTAACTTGTTTCCTCCACAGTAGTTTAGTGGGTCCGAGGAAAGGCTTTGGGGCAGAAATAGAGGCTGAAATCCTAGCTCTGCTTCATAAAAATGCGTGTCCTTGGAAAAGTTACTGAATCTGTGTGAGCTTAGGTTTAAGAATTAATTAAGGATATATAGTTAAGCAAGCAAGTAGTCAGGGGTATTTGCTATTATTTTTAACAATTTTAATTATAATAATATGTATATTAATTTAATGTTTTTGCAAAATAGTAGCTACCCAGGTAAGATCTTGTATCATGACCTCATAATGAAGTTACCATCTTGTGTTTTGTTTGTCATAGTTTTTTTAATTGATCTGGTTATAATAGTCCTTTTTATAGTAATAGTGTTTTTCTGTTTAAAAATGAAGTATTTGAGATTATGTTTCCTGAATCTTGTTAGCTCATTGTGAAACCAGAGGTGGAGAGGCACATGATAAGATAACTAAGTTGAATCTGGCTCCTCTGCCCTCCTCCCTTCCTATTAAGGGAAATACCTATTCCTCTCCCCATACACATATATACACATGATTCAGGAACTTGAAGAAGGAAGGTATGCATTTTAAATTTCATTTTAGGTATAATTTACTAAACATTTTATATGTAGACAGTGATATCCAGTTGACAGTATGGAGTATTGATAAATGGTACTTTACAGGTATTGCTTCTAAGACCCATAATTATCATCGTCAACATAGAGGTTGGAATAAAACTTGTTTATCAAATTTATTTTTAATATAAAAATGGGGCCTGAAATAGATAATGGTAGAAAGCAAAATACAGGACCTTTGATGCTGGGAACAGAATTATTTTTTTATCTTGGTTGAAAATTTGAGCCTCACAGTAGTTTGATACAGGAATTTTAAGATGTTTACTTTAAGATTCCCTAGATAATATATTGCATATCCAGATCTCTGGCTTCAAATCCTATATATATATTTTTAATATTCCAAGTTTCTTGATTAAGGTAGAACACTTATAGGGGGGAAAATTAAGTAGAAGAATTTGAATCAGTGTAGCTATAAGATTATAAGTCAGTAGAATGCGTATGTGGTTTCAAAAGGAAATACAATGCTAGTGCCTATGAGTAGAAACAGCCTAGAAACCCTAATGTAATCTTCTTCTAATACACATTTTGACTAGATATTATTGACTAGATCTTAGGTTAATTTTTTTACTTTTGTTTTACAACTTAAAATAGACATAAAATTTTAGAAAATGATAGACTAGAGAGATAACAAGATGTAAAATCAACTTCAGTGATTGGGGAAAGAATGTCAAAGAAGTGGGCAGAGCCAAGGTTATCCTGGTTAGGGAAGAAAAACTAGGAGGCAGTCTTCTAATGACATATCCCTGAGCACACACAAGATACCAAATGTTTCGTTCTAAAGAAAGTGAAAGAAAGGGAAAAGCAACTTTTATGTAATTTTGCAATTGTTCTGTAAGGAAAGGAACATTGAAAAATGATACTTGGGGATGTGTTCATTTTTCCAACTGGGCTCCTGTGGCACGTATTGAATGAACGTGCCTCACCCCCACATACATATTCTGATCTAAGAGGAAAGGCCTTTTCTTTGGCCTGCAAAGCCTTACTCCGTTTTCTTGCAATACGTGTTTTTAATTTTCCAAATACACTCGACATTGCCATATATTTGTAAGTACGAAAAATTCATTGTAGGGTCCCATGTGAATTATTTTCATCTGTTGTCCTTTGCTTTTTGTCATTGCTTTTGGCTGGGATTTGGACTGTGAACTTTGATTAAGAAGAGAATACCTGTGACAGGACAATAAAATCTAGAGTGGACATGACCCTTCCTGACTGTTACAGCAACGTGAGGAATGTTGTGAAGTACATTTTCCACAGTCTGTTGCCTCTGTGGTTTGGTGTTAGAAATCACCACGGCCTAACTTACATGAAACATGAATGCAGAAATGAAATAGGATTAGATGATTTGAAGCCACTTGTGTAAAGGAGACAGACAGAAGCATAGAGCTTTTGTGTACATTTGCTTTTAGTTCATTTTCCTCAGCGTTTGCCCTGCCAGCCAAGAAAGACCACCATCGACTGCTTGACTTCCATTGATGCCAGGTGTAAGCTTTACAGTTGCTCAGAATTCAGCATTAACGATCCAGCATAGGTTGGATTTTCCTGCACGCCATAGGTGCCGACCATATGGTGGCAACAGATGTAGACTCTCAGGGTTGAGACTGTTTTGTGAAGGCTACGCACTCGTCTCTAGATTGCATTTGTATCAGGTCTAATTTGACTAGTTGTCCTGTTGATACTACTGCTGACTGTGATTCAGATCCCAGTGTGACAGCTACGTGGTGCGCGGTTAGTGTGCTGTGCCGTGCAGGGGCTGCTCTGAGCCAGTCCTTCCATGGAGAGTCAGCACTTTGCCGTTTCATGCAGACTCTGGATGCTTCCTGTTACTCAGGGTTGAGCATAATCTCTCAATGATTTCAGTTATCTCTGGTTGTATGTGATTAAAATTATGTTCAGTTTACCTGTAATAAATGCTTCCGTGCTTTTTAAAGAAATTGTAATATTTTTAGTTGAAAGAGGATGCTCTATAATTTTAAAGATGAGTGAAAATGTAAGATAGCTTTATAAACTAGATTTCAAAATATGATTAAAGGAGATAATATTTTCCCAAATAGTTGGTAAACATTATTCAGGTGATTCATCCTGAATAACAAACTACCCTGATACTTAGTGGCATAAAACAGCATTTCATAACCATTTTACAAGTTTCCTAATCATCTCATAATGCTTTTGGATCCTCCAGGTCAGGAATTAGGAAAGGACATGGCAAAGATGCTATGTCTCTGCTTCACTGTGTGGAGGGCCTCGCCTGGAGATAGACTGGGCTACAGCCACCTGGAGGCTTTGTCACTTAGGTCTGGTGCCTGCGTAGCAGCTGAGGACTCAGACAGGGAGCTCTGAGTGGGCTGGTGCTCAGGCGGGTGGGTCCATAGCGTGGCCTGAGACCTGGCACTGTGGAGGGGCGTGGCCGTGGTGGTGGAGAATCCTGAGGGCTCATGGAGTGCCACCATATACGGGCTTCCTCACAGCAGGGTGGCTTCAAGGCAGGGAGCGTTATGCATGGCAGTTGATGGCTCCAAGAGCAAGTGTTCTTCAAAATGGAAGCTGCATGACCTTTTATGACCTACCTTCAGAAGTCACATAGCATCATTTCTTCCAGAATCTCCTGGTGAAAGCCATCACAGCCCTAGCTGGTGTGCTCAGTTAGAGCGTCTGCCCATGCACCAAAGGGTCGCGGGTTCGATTTCCAGTCAGGGGGAGTGTGGGAGGCAACCAATTGATATGTCTCTCTCTCTCTCACATCGACGTTTCTCTCTTTCTCTGTCTCCCCCTCCATCCCTACTCTCTAGAAATCAATGCAAATATATCCTCAGTGAGTATTAACAAAATAAATGAATAAATGAATATTCAGGTTTTTAAAAAAGCAATCCAAGCTTGTTGAAGGGTAGGGAACATTAATAGCTCACCACTTGAACAGAGGAGTATCAAAGCATTTAAAATCCACACAGACTTACAACATTTCCAATTGAAATTTTGTTTTCCCAATTACATGCTTAACATTACTGTTAATTAAATCATCATTATATAGAGGGATGGCAAGGACAGCAATCAGTCCTGAGATTACTTTGATATTTGGGGAAGGGTGAACCAATAAGTTTGGGATGTTACTAAGTTGGGTAATTGGTGGGAGAAAAAGCTGTTTCTCTCTCCAGTATTTCATCTTGAGATGAATTAAGATTCTCTAAGAATACCTGAATCTGAGCAGAAGAATAAAGAATGAAGTAAGACCTAAGTGCCAAAAAAACTATAGTATAGTAGGAAATTTCTTGATAAGCACAATAAACAACAACAAACTTTTTTTTAATACGGTGTTACATCCTATAAATTATATCAGGATAAATCATTTTGAAAGAGAAGATTGACTATTATTTAGATATCTGAATGATGATATGATCAGTTGTGCTTTACTTTGTTCATTTCAAACCTGATCACATCACTGTATGAAGAGTTATCAGAATCCCTAAGTGAGCATTATATTGGGAAAATACTGCTTCTGGAATTTGCAAACTAAAAAGCTTCATAAACTTAGGTAAATTACTTTCTGTACTTGAATTTTCTTCTTATTTGGGAATATTTTTCCTTCTCACATGGAATTCAGTTCTAAGCAGATGAAAGAGTATCTTTTTTTAAAATATATCTTTATTGATTTCAGAGAGAGGAAGGGAGGGGGGGGAGAGAGAGAGAAACATCAATGATGAGAGAGTCATTGATGGAGCCCACAACCCGGGCATGTGCCCTGACCAGGAATCGAACCGCGATCTCCTGGATCCACACCTGGCCAGGCAAGAATATCTTGATTGCATTTTAAATGTTGTTTTTATGGATCATAAATATGATGTTTATACTTTAATTGCTTTGTTATCTTGACATCTTGGGTTCTTGCAGCTGAAATCATTAGTTTTTGTAGCCTGAAATCTCTTTCTATGGATTTTACTTGTTAACTTTGAAATTTTGTAAACATTATTATAAGAGTATTTATAAATTAAATGTTGCAAAATAGCTGAATAGGCAAGTTAATAATCAATACATAATAGTGTATGCTATTAACCAGTTACTATTTTAAGAGCTTTACTTTTAATCCTTGTAGCAAGTTTATGAATTAGATACTGTACTATCTTCATTTTACACATAAGGAATTTGAGGGTTAAAAACTTGCTCAAGGTCATTTAATGAGTGGAAGAGCCTAGATTTGAATCTAGGTAATCTGGCTCCGGAGTCTGTGCTCTGAACTTGTACAGTCTTTATTACATGTAAGAAAAAAAATCTATGTGGACTGTATAAAATTCATTTTAAGCTATTATTAACACTTTAAGTATCAGTTAAATAATGGTGTTATCAGATCCTATTTAGAGGTTGCACTTCACTTTTTTTTGTATGTGTGTTCCTTTTCAGTTTGTCTCCCAGTCTAACTGCCAACAATTTCTGAACACTGTTTGGTTTGGACAGATGTCAGGTTACCGACGTAAGCCCACCTGTAAGAAGATAATGACTGTGTTAACAGTTGGCATCTTTTGGCCACTTTTGTCACTTTGCTATTTGATAGCTCCTAAATCTCAGTTCGGCAGAATCATTCATACACCTTTTATGAAATTTATTATTCATGGAGCATCATATTTCACATTCTTGCTGTTACTAAACCTATACTCTCTTGTCTACAACGAGGATAAGAAAAACACTATGGGACCAGCCCTTGAAAGAATAGACTATCTTCTTATACTGTGGATTATCGGTAAGTATTGGGTTCATTTGAAAGGTTCAGCCTTTATTAAGCCCATTAATTCTCCTTTTCTTGGTGGCATTATAAACATATGCGTTCAGTTTGTAATTTTACACTATTTGCACATCAAGAATTTGAATACTTCCATGATCATTGAAGACTTAACTAACATTTTTGTAAAGATAAATGTTCCTGAATTTGATGATAAAGGAACAGCTCTTATTTAATATTACTTACTTACATGGAAGTTGAAATTTTTCTATTCTCAGTCTCTAAAATTGTTTATGACTTAAAACAGAAAGTTTGCTGATGAATGCTTTTTTTGGTATAAGAGTATGAACCTATTAAGTATTTTGAAATATAATATGTTTTATACTTAGTTGCATCTGAAGAGTTAAGTATTTTGTTTTATTATATCATTATTTTTCCTTTTAAGAACCTATGAACTTTTGTAGTTACATTTTCCTGATGACTCACTCTAAAAATCAATTCTTTGTATTGATAGCTATATCTCTTTAGAAATTACAGTTTTAAATATATATAGATATATGTATGTATAGATATAGATACATATGACATTTTCTTATGTGAAAATTGGTTTTTATAAGTATTATGTTGTATAGTGAATATTTTAAATGACCTTCTGCTCCCCTTGCCCTTTTTTTGATGGGGGTGGGAGGTAAGGAGCTGAGGTATAATCAAATTGTCTGTTTATAGACTTTTAATGACTTCTCCCTTTTTTCTCTCTGGATCTTCAACCTTGTTTTTAACCTCAGCATTTCCGACTTATCTTTCATTTGCTATAGAGTAAAAATATTGAAATTTAGTCTTTTCTATGGTGTAAAGCACTGATTGATTAATGTTTTTTATTGTTTCAGTTATTAAATAATTTGAGAATAGTTAAAGTACAATGTTTACTTTTGCCCTGGCCAGTTTGGCTCAGTGGTTAGGGCATCGGCCTGCAGACTAAAGGGTCACATGTGGTTCGATTCCCATTCAAGGGCACATACCTCAGTTGTAGATTCAATCCCAAGCCTGGTTGAGGCTCGTGCAGGAGGCACCCATTCAGTGTCTCTCGATGTCTGTCTGTCTCCTTCCCTCCCTCCCACTCTCTAAAAAAAATCAATGGAAAAAATATCCTTGGGTGAGGATTAAAAAATTTAAAAATATAATTTGCATATTTGGTTTTTTTATTTGGAAATTAGTTAATTTCAAGTAACTTGATTTCCATCAGTTTTTTACTTTTAGCAGTGTTCAATCCATGGTACATTAATGCTTAAAATCAGATAGATAAAACAGACTTTTGGTCAGATGGCAGAGTTAGGTATACCATGTGTTCACCTGCTCCCACAACCAAAGCAAAACTCCAACTAAACTACATAATAACCATCATTGAGAGTCACTGAAGTCTAGCGGAACAGAACTCCTATAACTAAGGATATACAGAAGACACATCAAGACCCGTAGGAGGGGTGGAGACTCGATATAGGCTGCTTCCACACTCACTCTGGTGGTTGAGAATCAGGAGGCTGAGGAAGTTCCCCCTGAAGAGTAGAGGTTTCCCCTAAGGAGTGAAGGGTCCCAGCCCCACACCATGATCTGTATCCAAGGGCTTGAGTACTGGGAAGGAAAATTCTCATAACTTCTGGTTGTGAAAACCAGCAGGGATTTTGGCTGAGTGAGACGGAAGGCTGGTAGGATCCCAGGCATTCCTCTTAAATGGTCCACTCAAGGGCTTAACTTGCTGACAGACTCACTGGCTCTGAACTCCAATTCTGGGGCAGCAGCCAGGGACATACTAGGGGGAACTGAATTGTCTGGCTTCAGGGTGAGAGCTGGAGGGGTAGCTTACTCCCAGATAGAAGTGCTGGCAGAAGCAACTGTTTACTAAATCCTCCCCCTACTTGGTTGCAGATGCAGACAGGCTCCATATCTGAATCTCAGTCAACCTGGCTAATACTGTTCACCCTGCCCTAATGATTCCCTAAGATCCTGCCCCGCCCAACTTGTGTGCCCACCCAAGCCTCTTCCAGTGGCTTTTCCATCGCCTGTCTTGGCTCATGCTTCAGACTTCCGTAAACTCTCAAAGGCTCATAAAACTCAAGCAACAGCATCTGGCCTTAACATACCCTGTACCTCTTGCTAAGTAGCTTCAACCCTGGCACTAATGGCAGCCAGCCTTGGTTCACAGTTTAACCTCTATCAGGCACCTCCAAGCCCAGCACAAGTGGCTACCATCTGCAGATAACTTTGGAGCTTATACCAGGTGGCTCCAGGGAGGTCACAGGCAGCAGCTGACCTTGTCCAGCACCAGAAACTCTCCCAAGAGGCCCCAGAACCAGCACATGTGGTGGCCAGCCTCAGACTACACCAGAGCACCACCCAACCATCTGTACAAACTGCACAGAAAAGGCAGACTTCCCAGGCACCAGAGCCTCACTAAAGTGAATCCTGCTATGTAGGTCCTGCCCCTGCACAACAGTTCCTCCACTGTAGTCATGACCAGCCCTCACAATCAGTCTGAGGGTCAGTCCCTCCCATTGACATTGCCAACAGCAATCAAGACTCACAAAGCCCACAGAAGGGACAAACTTGGAGCAACTGACTCAGGTGATCAGGGAGACTGCACCACTTGGCCTTACAGAGCACCTACTACATTAGGCCACTCTACTGAGACCAGGAGACATACTAGCTCTACCTAATGCATAAAAACAAACACAGGGTGGCAGCCAAAATGAGGAGACAAAGAAACGTCCCAAATGAAAGAACAGAAGAAAACTCTTAAAAAAGAACTAAACAAAATGGAGATAAGCAACCTACTAGATGCAGAGTGTAAAATACTGGTTATAAGGATGTTCAATGAACTTGGGAGAAGAATAGATGAACTCGGCAAGAACTTCAACAATAAAATGGAGATAGAAAACATAAAAAGAGTCAGTCAAATGATGAATACATTACAGGGAATCAACAGTAGATTAAATGAAGCAGAGGATTGAATCAGTGATTTGGAAGACAAGGTTGCATAAGCCACCCAATCAGAACAGCAAAAAAAAAAAAAAAAAAA